GTCACTCCATAATACAATAGCAAAATATATAAATATGTATAGTATTTTAATGTTACATTAATCAGAATTTAGCACACCTTCCTAAGGAAAGCATATGGACCAGAAGACATTGCAATTACTAAATGATACTGTATTTAGACAGACTTAAAAAAAGAAGTTCCAGATCTATACTTGTGCCCTTATTATTTCAGTTATTTTGCCTTTAATGTAAATAAACATGTGCAAACAATATACTTGCTCGTGAATTTATTTGGATGTTAATTACATTGTGCAAGCTGTCTCTTTAATACCGCATGGTTTACATACATGTTGCTGCTGATTGGGCTGACATGTTTGACACACCCACCAAGCAAGAGAAAACGCATCTCAAACCCCGTTGCACACCGTTTCCAGGAAACAGTTCAAACCGGAAACCGTAGCAAAACGGTGTACACCGGGTTGAGCTTGAACTTGCCCCTGGTCATCACCTGCTGTTCTAGGGGCATTCTCTACGACAAAGCTTACATTTCGCCCACATGAACTGCAAAATCTTGGCAAAGTCAGCCATTGGATGCCACAGAAAGGGCAATACATTTTGATCTGAAAAACAAAAACAAGTTGACTGAAGTTTGCACGTTGTATTTGTATTCCATTGTCCTTTCTTTCATTAGCCTACTAAAAGGGCCTGATTAAATAATAATTTTAAATATTATTCTTACTGTCAATCTGCAATTTATTTTGACCTGGTTTTAACAATTAATGAAGCATTGCGGATTTCATTAACCTTGAAATTATATTTAGTTGAGAATATTAAATTAAGTTAGCCATTTTATATAACGTTTCACAGTTACTCGTGTAATTCGTCAGATTATTTAGGCTAATAATATCTAAAAGACAAAGGAATCATGCAAATCAGGGTGTTAAAATAAACAAAAAAACTAACCTTTCAGTTCACGGACAACTCCACTGACCAATAGCCACTGCACAAAACAAATCCCAGCCGGGTCCGTCACTTTTTTGGGTCCCCTAGAAACATTTCCGTTGTGGTCCGTGCTATTTGCAGCGCGTTTCTTCATTTGCATGTGTTGTGAGGATATGCAGCGCGCATGTTGTCAAACTGATGAAGATGTTTTCTTAATTTGCTGGTGTTTTTTCAATTTGCATGTGTTTTCTTAAGTTGCAGCGCGTTGAGCTCTCTCGGCCACCGTACACATTATGACTTATGTGACACCTGAAAATTGTGTTATAAAGAGGATAATTGCACTAAGCATATTAATACGGTATTAATATGCTTAGTGCAAGTATCCTCTTTATAACATGCTTAGACACACACGCACATACTGAAATGAAAGGGCTAAAATAATATTTAATGCACTAAGCATGCCTTACACATACATGCACAGACATTTTGTTGTAGATAAAATGATATCATTTATTTAAAATATTTTTATCTACAACAAAATGTGTGTGCATGTATGTGTAAGGCATGCCTACAGTGCATTAAATATTATTTTTAACCCTTTGATTTCAGTATGTGCGCGTGTGTCTAAGCATATCATCCATAATGAACGTGTTATGATGTCAGCCCTACATGTTGGGTCAGTCTAGACCCCAATCAGCATCCATAAATCCCTTAAAGGGGTCATATGATGCTTTTTTAAAGATCATTATTTTGTGTATTTGGTGTAACAGAATATGTTGACATGCTTTAATGTTCAAAAAACACATTATTTTTTCAAATACTGTACATTATTGTAGGTCCTCTATGAACAAAACAGTAGCTGATTCAGAAGCGCCAGATTGTCATAGCAAAGTCAGAATTACCTCCTCTCCTAGGTTCACGAAACGGTCGTCCATAAAATGCATTGCTGTTCTGTTGTAAGTAATCTTAAAGATTCCTAAATGCATCTACTTTCGGAAGGCCAAATAAAGTGCTTTTGCTTTCGCCTAGAAACACACAGCGTCTCCCTGACATGCTGCTTCAACACTAACTGCGGTTACTGAAACCACGCCTTCTTTCTTTGCGTGCACATTTGGGCGGCATTATGCAAATATTTCCACATAGTGACGTAGATATGTGGGGGTGTGTTAGAACGAGCCGTTTTAGGGGGGCGTGGCAGAGTTAACTTTGATAAAGAATATCTCTTTGGCTTTGAGACTTTAGTCTTTGCAACGTCAGGGATCTTATCAATGCACAATCAGCTTGTAACACTCCAAAGAGAAAGGAAAACTTGAAATCGCATCATATGACCCCTTTAAAGTGCTTGACCCACGGTAATCGCTGCTTGCAGCTATATTATTGTATTTATCATTGCTTGGTACCTTAGAGTTAGAAAGTAAATACCTACATTTGGAAAAGCAACACAATGAGCGTTGCAGTTTTTAAAAGTGAAAAATAGTAATTCTTACAATAATAATAATAATAATGTATTTGGTAATAGTAATGCATAATTTATTATTATTATTATTATTTTAGACAATGATTTGTAGAGAATATCACAGATGATAATAAAATTATAAATATGTTTTGTATTAAAAGATTAAGCTAATGTTAAACTTAGCTCTGGAATTAAAACATGTTGGAAGCATAAAAATCAACCACTGCTTTATTGCATGTGGCCAATAAAAAGCTTGAAGTTTTGTGCATCTGGCCAAGAGTCTGGTGTAACGTCACGTGCACGCTTCTCGTCTGAGTTCCTGATGCATAGTGGGTCACGTGGTCATTCACTTTTCCTTTATAGTTCACTAGGAAAAGCGCAACACAGGCAGTTCACCAGGGTTTGAGACACTACCTGTGTCGCGCTCTCAATCTCGGACAGCGCACTGGTCCACCTGGATGCCGTGACTTTCGTTTCTTTGCATTCAATCCTAACAACAGAGACACTTTGAAAATGGCTGGAGCAATTATTGAGAATATGAGCACCAAAAAGTTGGTGATTGTGGGAGTAATTCTCATTTTATTCCAGGCGTTCTCCTTTATGGTCGGAGGTCTGATTGGTGAGTAGCTACTTTTACAAATCCGTCTAGATTTGATAGTTCAGGCTTTGTTGGCTTTTACTACACAGTATGTTGCCATTCGTTCTGGTGTGCAACACTAGGTGGTTTTCAGCAAAAAAAAGAGTCTTTTTTGCGTTCTTGGAAGGAGTGAAAAGTTGCGGAATGGCTTTGTTACAGTAGTGTCAAAGATGGGCGCTTATTTTCACCCCGTCGACTTGTGCAGTCTTTGTGCTGCTGCTTTCAGCGTTCCGCCTGTAAGTTTGAGAGCAGATCAGACAGACGCGACATTGATTTTTACTCGCTACTTCTGCGCCTTGATGTCTCCTTTTTTTTTGTCCCCGGTCCCTGAAAAATGCCATGAGAAACTAAACGGAGAGAGGCTTGTTTAAACCAACTTGAGCTTTTGTTATAATATTGAATATTGTTTGGTGTCTTCCATATTTATTTTGTTTACTAACTTATTTTACACAACTTTTAATTAATGTTCAAAGATAGTTCTTAATGTTTCCATTGCAGAGCAGAGACACTAATAATATTCAGGGGAAACCTTAGTACAACATCAAGAAATGTTATGGACAAACAATAGACGAAGTCAGCAATGAAGTATATTGTATATTACAAACTTTATTTTCTAATTTTAGTCACTTGTACCAGTCTTGCATTATGTTGTTAAAGGGATAGTTCACCCATAAATGAAAGTCTGTCTACTTCTCATCAGCCAATAAAGGGTTAAGCGAGGTGCATCTCAAGAACTTTTCTTTGATCTTACATCTGAACAGACAACCCCTCCTCTGTGCCCACAGGCTTTTCCAGCTCTTTCCTCAGTAGCTATGCATCGACCTCATCAGTGTTATTTTGTACCATTTCGATAGGAAGGGAATCATTTCTTGGTCTCCTGCAGAATGTGGGATGAATGGTGATAAATTAGCCTGCTTTGGCTATTCTTGCCTGTGATTGATTTAATGAAGCTGGATTCCTTTGTGTTTGTTCGGTGGCAGGTGGCAACCAGGGTAATTGAGTAGAAAGGCGTGCTGTTTCCCCAGTTATTGGACATCTTAAACACGGCATGAGGTCACTGGGCCGAAAGGCGACTAGTATTTTGTGGTGGTATTTTCAAGAGGGTTTGTTCCAGGATTGTGGGTCAATGAATAATTGAACTCCGAGAGGTTTAGTACAGCTAATTTTGTTTACTTGGTGTATTTCACAGGAACAGGATTTTACCACGCAAAATGTGAGCAGAGCAATTAAAAGGCCCACCCATTAGCTTTTTAGATATTATTAACATTTTTAATGGTGCTGTTACTCAGTTATATTGAATGTAATACTGATAAACACTCCTGAAATAGAGACGAAACCTGTGAATAGTGTCCTCAAGCTATAGACTGGTTCACGTTATCTCTCATTTCCTGGTGATGTGCATGCTTTGGATATCCACGATGACCCATGAAGGGTTCTATTGACTCCGATAACAAATTACCAGGACCAGCCTTCTGAATGGTGGAGGAAGCCTGTTCATACTTTCTCATGCTAATGACCCCCTCTTAATAAGGGTATATCAAAGAATCTTTGCGAGTCTTCTATTCATTGTCTAGACATTTGTCTTTCAAAATACAGTATAACCGTAATATTGTGAAATATTATTACAATTTAAAATAACTTTTCTATTTTTTAAAGTATGTTAAAATGTAATTTCTTCCGGTGATGGCAAAGCTGAATTTTCTGCAGCCATTATTCCAGTCTTCAGTGTTACATGATCCTTCAGAAATCATTCTAATATGCTTATTATTATTATTATTATTATTATTATTATTATCAATGTTGAAAATAGTTTTTATAGATTATTTAAATGAATAAAAAAAAGGACTAAGAATGCCATTTAACTATCTGAAAGTCTTTACTGTCACTTTTAATCAATTTAATGCATTCTTGCTGGAAAGTATCTTTTACTGCTCTTTTCTCTGCATTTTTAAAATGTTTTAAATTTTTAAGTATGAATTTCAATTTGTAAAACAAGCTGTTTCCAATTTATGTAAGAATTTATATAATTATATTTAATTTATAAAATATGTATAAAAATACATTTTTAATTAAAAATGTTATGCTCTGTGATTGAAAAAATCTTCTATTCCTGTAAAAATAAATATGAGAGATTTTGCTCATGTCTTGCCAATGTAGTTATGTGCAAAATATGTGAATCAATACATTATTATTCGTTATTCCCAAGCTATTCTTAAACTGATATTCAAATATTTTTCTGTAGCTCCAAGCCCCACAACTGCCGTCCACTACCTGGCCACCAAGTGTGTGGACACCGTGAAGACTCACCATAAGGGCTCCAAGTGGTTCATGCCATGGGGCCCTGACCAGTGCAGCAAGATCAGAGACTTTGATGAGGCCATGGCCAAGAGAATCGAGGCCAACAACATTGTGTTTGCAGTCCACATTCCACTGCCCAACAGAGAGATGAGTCCCTGGTTCCAGTTCATGTTGGTTATCCTTCAGTTTGACATTGCCTTCAAAATGCAAAACCAGATTGGTGAGTAATAAAAATGTGCGATTGTATGTTTTTGTTTTAGTGTGTTTGAGGTTATAATGTGCACCTCCTGTGCCCCCCCAAAAAAACATAAACATGACATCACTATATGGTTTATAAGCTTATACGAACATCGCTATTGTGTCGAAAGTGTAGGAGGGGACACATGAACACCCAGAGGAATTTCCCATTCTATTCACTCAAAAGTAGATTGGATTTCTCACATGCTGTGAGCGGACTAA